GGGGGTGAGGAGTGTGTGGAGGGTGAGCAGTGGGTCTGACTCTGCGATGCTGTAGTAGGGTGACCCATGGGGGCTGGTGTGGCCCACAGCAGTCACCCCTCCCCGGCCCATGCCCCTGTTGGGAGGCCTCTCTCAGCACTTTTCTGTTTGGTTCACGAGTTGTGAGGGGAAAGGCAGTCGGGTTCTGGAAATGCAATTGTGGGAGAAGGGCCTGGAAGAGTTCTGTGCCTGTCGGGAGCAGCAGGGAAAAGGGGGGAAGGGAGCAGGAGAGTCCCTGCCTCAGAGTGAAGGAGGAGGGGGAGCCTGGGTCGTTGGTGCGGGTCCTGGGAAGCAGGAACATGGCCTCTGAAGGCCCCTCTTGTCTCTGGCTGAACTTCCACAGACTCCACACCTGCCCTGGAGGGAGGGCAGCTGTGGCTGTTAGTGGCTGGAGCAGGCCCTGGGCAGAGGCCTCTACTCCCTGTGTAGTGGGGTTGCAGCTGGAGGCTCTTCTCGCTCTGAATCATGCAAGCGGAGGGAGCTGTCCAAGCAGGCCAAACTGGCTGAGGGTTTGGCTGGATTTCGGGCCTTTGGCTTAGTCCTCATGTTTCGTTTGGAAACAGCACGTCTGGGCCGAGTGCAGGTAACTCCCACGTGGCCACAGCACAAAGCAAACAGCTCACACATCTGCTGCTGCTTCCTCTGAGCCGGGAAACGTGAGAGGATGGGAAAGGAGCCTGGCAGGCAACTAGGCTCGGCACTGAGCCCCAGCAAGGGGGAGCCAGGCCTGAGGAACCGAGCAGAGCCCAGGGGGCACAAATCCATAGCTTTTAGTGCCTCATGATCCAGTCGGACCTCCTGCAGAGTCCAGGCCAGAGAATCCCACTAAGTAACTCCTGTGTCCAGCCCCGAACGTCTGGCTGAGCTTTCAGAAAGACACCCTGTCTCCATTTACAGACTCTGAATGACGGAGAATCCGCCGCATCCCTGGGTAAGTTGTTGCAGTGGTTCATTCCCTGCACTGTTAAAAATCTGCATCTTATTTCCAGTCTGAATTTATCTAGCTACAGCTCCCAGCCGTTGGATCTCATTGTGCCTTTGTCTGTGAGATAAAGAGCCATGTTCTCTCAGAAATCTCCTCACCATGTAGATACTTCTAGACCGTGATTGAGTCATCTTATTTTTATTTATTATTTGTATTGCTGTAGTGCCAGGGAGCCCCAGTGAAAACACAGAGCCAAAAGATAGCCCCGCCCCAAAGAGCTCACAATCTAAGTATAGGACAAAAGACAACTGGTGGATTCAAACTGATGGGAGAACAAGGAAACAATGAGACAGTTTTGGCCAACATGACTGGTTTCAGCACACCAGCTTGGCCTTCACCTTCTGTTGGATAATCTAAATAGATTGAGTTTCCTAAGTCTCTTGCTATACGTCAGGGGTTCCAGGCCTCAAACCATTCCAATAACGGTCTCACCAATGCTGTGTATGGAGGTAACACTACCTCCCTACTCCTATTGGGTCGTCCCCTGCTCATACACCCAAGGATCCTGCTGGGAACTCATGTTCAGCTGGTTTTCACCATGATCACTAAGTCATTTTTAATATCGCTGCTTTCCAAAAATACAGTCTCCCTCCCTGTAACTGACCTATGTTCCACCTTGAATTTGGCAATATTAAAACACGTTTTGTTCAAATGAGCTGAATTTGCCAAGTGATAAGCTATCCAGCAGTGATTTCATATTTTCTACCAAATCATTGATAAAAGAAATTGAATAGCATTGGGTGAGAACAGAGCCGTACTCTTATTTTTTGTGATTTGTTTGCTAGTTTTTAATCTGTCAGTGGACTGAATTAATATTTGGATCAGAAGATCACATGGTAGTGAAATGCCTTGCAGAAGTCTAAGTCTGATGTGTCAATACAGTTACCTTTATCAACCAAACTTGTGATTTCATCAAAAAATGACATTAAATATCTGAGCCCTGGAGAGACGAAACCAGACCAAGCGATTATGGCAAATAGCTGAACTGCAGCAAGGGCATCTGAGCCCAGCAGAGCCTGGGGGAGTGTATCTGAGACCCACTGAGGAGGAGCTGAGTCTGAGAAGCTCAGGGAGTTGTCCAGGCCCCGGAGGGGCACAATACAGACAGTTTGCACACCCACTCAGCCACTCTTAACCACTGCAGTGCCCTCTTGGCTGAAGACATGTGAGCAGTGGCAAGTGGAGGCATTACCCACCCCCATTGCTACACAATGGGGTGGTGGTGTCCCGACAGCCATGCCTGCCTTAGCAGCTCACAGTCAGACCCAGAGCTCCTTAGGTTCTATAGTACAGAGACTGTTCATTGGAGAGAGTGATGGGGGGTGGTAAATAATGGTGCATGGACTGTTCCATTGAAGATAGTGATGGGGTGGATTCTATTCCATTCTATTCTATTCTGTGTAGGTTTTGGTACTGCACTCATGACGTAGTATTTGAGTGCCTTCCAGTAGTGCATTAAGCAACATGACTACACATCTGTCATGTGTTGTTTGTTCTCTCATCCTCTCTCCAGCTGGAGAAGTGTGTGCAGTGAAGTGTCTTGTTTAGGTGTGTTTTTTAAATTATTTTTTAAAATAAATATAGATGTTGCTATGTGTTTGTATTAGAGAAGGCAGGATCAAAGACATGCTCTGCACTTGGAGGGGAAAGTGGTGAGATTTGTGATGGTTCTTAGTTCCTGGGTGAGTTCATTCCTCAGTCTCACGCTGCCCCTGGAGAAGTTTCTGTCTCCTGCACAGGTTAGCTTCACTCTTATTGTTGAGAGTTCCATTGTGCTGGAGGAGCAAACAGTCAACTACTTTCTTCATCCCAGAACTTTAGATGGTCTTTTAGGTATCCTGGGCCCAGGCCATAGAGCACTTTGAAGATAAGAACCGAGACCTTGAATTTGATTCAAAATGCTAAGAGAAGCCAATGTAGAAAGCGGGGACAAGTGTGATGTTTCTTACTGTAGCCTGTGTTGTTGAAGAGACATTCTGCAGCTTTCTGTACTAGCTGGAGTTTCCTAAGTGCTGAAGGTTTCATGCTGAGGTATATCATATCATTGTAGTCCAGCTGAGAGGTGATGAAGGCATGAATAACTGAGTCCAGGTCTTTGGCTGTCATGATCAGATGGCGTCTCCTAGCCAACCAGAGATGGTAGAAAGCATTACTCACGACCATTGCGATGTGAGAGCTCAGCGAGGAATCCAAGAGTACTCCTAGACTACAGACTGAATTAGCCAGTTGTGGATATGAACTTTCAATCAAAGGAGACTGCATCATGGCTGCAAATGCCTCAAAATACTTTCCTCCCACCAGTATCACCTTTGTCATGCTTGGCTTCAGTTTCAGCCAGTTATCTTTCATTCATGAGTTGATCTCATCAAAGCTCTGGGTCACCTTGGTGGTAGTGGTGTGGTAGTATGTGGTGAAGGATGGGTAAAGCTGTGTGTCATCTGCATATTGCTGGTGCTTGAGTCCCTGTCATCTGACCATTTAGTGGTTGCATGTCGATGTTGAAAAAGATAAGAGAGAAAATATCAATTGGTCCTTGTGGAGCCCTGCAGGTGAGAGGTCTAGTTGTGGAGATGCAGTCTCCCATCACAACTCTTTGGGAGGACTCAAACCATTTTAGTGCATTCCCTTGGATGTCTCTCACCTCAGCTGAGACAGCAGTATCTCCTGGTTGATAGTGCTGAATTCTGCAGGGGGGCTGTTAGCTGGTGGGTGCAGGCAGGGCAGATCCGGGCATTTTGAGAAGGCTTCCTGAATGTGTGTGATAGTTCTTTGTGGCGCTTGGTGCTCAGCTCTGATGCAGACTATGGGCCCCAAAAATTGATGACGCGGTTTACCACCCTAGATTGCTCCTTGGGGCTGGATTTGGCAGTTTCAATGGAGGCTGATAGACGGGTTCTCTTGGCCTGTAATACAGCCTCAGCATAGACTTTGAGGAATTTATGTTTGATCCTTTGTTGGCTGATGACCTTTGTTTTCTGCCTGTTGCTGCACCTCTCTCTTCATCCAGTGCAGGATGTCAGAAAACCAAGGAGATCTGTGTGAGCAATGGGGAGCAAGGGGCTGTTTGGGGACCAGCTTGTCAGCAGTCAAGGCCAATGTAGAATAGTAATGATTCACCAGGTGCTTGACTCCTTGTGTTGTGAGTGCGTGCTGATGTCCTTTAGCAAGCTTTGGAAATGGTTGAAATCCATGACTCTTTGTGGTTGAATACGGATCATTGGTCTTTTTTGTTGCTGGAAGGTCTATGGCCACTGCCTTAATGAGGTGATTGTCAGTCCAAGACAGCGGCCAGGTTCTAATGTCCTCTGTCTTGATATAGGTCCAAATCAGGTACAGGCTATGACCAGATATGACCTATGAAAGTCCTAGGGAGGCACGTGAGGAGATGAGTTTTTTGGGTTTTGCATCTAATAATAATAATAATAGTGCACGGACTATTCCCTGGAGAGTGTGTGTGGGGGGGATAATAATGGTACACAAACTGTTCAGTTGGAGAGAGCAATGGGGGCAAGTGGGAGAAAATTATGGTGCACAAAGTTTTCCATGGGAGAAGGGGTTTGGAAGTGATCCCGTTTTCAGCGCTCTGTGCTGCAGACTTGCCCCTGAGGGACCTAGTGGGGCGATTCCTGGGAATGGATGGGGAGATGTGGAAGAGGGAAAGAAGAGTGTGGTGATTAGAGGAGAGGCAGGTGGTGGGAGGGAGATGTGCTGGGAAAAAAGGAAGTAGGTGGAGGGATGTATGGGGGCCAGGAGGGTCCATGGGGGGAGGGGAAGGGGCTGTGGTGGTACATGGGGGAGGAGAGTTGTGAGGGAGGTGAGTGTTGCTGTTACAGCCAGAAGAGCCACGTTTGTTCCAAATTCCTGTGAAAGTTATTTCCTCCCCTTGCCAGCAACCTCCTCCTGGGCTTGGCACGGCAGCCAGCGCCATGATTAATTCAAGTAGCATTTCCCCTGGAGCTGCAGCAGCTTTTCCACTGCAGCGGAGAGGCCCCAGCCCCCTCACACGCTCCTCTTCCCTCCCCATACTATGCTCCCTCCCCTCCCACCCCAATCCCCAGCCTTCTCACATGCTCCCCGCCCCATCCCTAGCCCCATCACACGCTCCTCTTCCCTCCCCACACCACCTCCACCCCATCCCCAACTCTCTCACACCTCCCCTCCTGTCCTGTTCATACATTCACCTCCTCCTCACACACTCCTCACCCCTCATATGTTCCCCATCCCAACCCCTTTGACAAGCTCCCCATCCCCTCAGACACTCCCCTCTCCATGTCCCTCACACTCTCCTCCCCTCATAAATTACCCTCCCCCACCCCCTTACATGTTCTCCTCCTGTCTCCCTCATACAGCCCCCCACATACATTCCCCCATCCCAACCCCCATTTCCCTCCCACACTTCCATATGGTTCCTTCCCATGTCCAACCCCCAGCCCTATCACACACTTCCCCCTCCAAATTCTCCCACCCCAGCCCCCTGACACACTCCCCTTCCCCTCAGACACTCCCCTCCCCAACCCTCACTGCCCTCCTGCCCTATCCTCCTCCTCACACACTTCCTTCCCCCAACCTAGCCCAGCCCCCTGCCCCCATGTTCTCCCACCGCTCCTCTCCCATGCTCCCCCAACACTCCCCTCACACATCCTAACCTCCAGCTCCCTCACACACTCCCCACCGTCTCTCACCCCAGTCTTCAGCCCCCTCACATGCTCCTATTCTTTCCTCCTCTACCCCTGATATGCCCTCTCCTACGTTCCTCCTCATATACTCCCCTCCCCCACCCCAACCCCTGCTGCCCTCCCCATCCCTTTGTACACTCCCCTAACCCCATGGAGTGTGTGGCTGCTTCCCCCTTGCTGGACCCTCCCCCTTCATTTCACCAGAGCGCTCTCGCCAAGACCTCTCATGGCCTTTTCCGCTCTAGGTCCTCTCATGCTTCCTACACCACC